AGCTGCAAATGGAGAAAGCAAATTTGGTCCTCTGGTTTCAAGGGGTCCCAGAATTAAAAGACAAGAATCTAAAGCAACTCTTAAGTGAAGCATTAGCTCCAGTTACAGATTTGAAAGCGGAATATCTTGCAAACGAAATGGATGTGGCCTACAGGTCCTCTTCCGTGTATATCAAGAAGAATAATCTGCCTGGGGAGATAGTGGTCAGATTCTTGAAGAGGCATATGAGGGATTCAATCCTGAAAGCAACTATAAAATAAGACAGAAGAGAAAGAAATATAAAGACTTAATCCTTTTTTTACAAACAAATGGCATCAGTTACAGATGGTTAATTCCAGAATTCGTCATTTTCAAAATACACAATAAAAAAGAAAAGATTGACTCTGTCTTTAAAGCACGTGAGTTCCTGAGATTGCAGTTGGGAGAGACAGACAAGGTTGCTAAGGAAGAAGATGACAGCAAATCCAGTGGTGAATTGGACTCGGTGTCTTCCGACGAGGACTCTGCTCCCAAATGTGCATATCAATTGAGGACAAGAAAATATAAAACAAAATGAAGGCTGAAGGACTCTGAATTGTGCCTTAACATTTTGGTTTTATTATTGAATGCTCTTGGGGTTCTCTTTAAAAAGTTAAATCAATGGATAAAAAGATAAATAATTTAGCAAATAAATAAATAAACTCAATTCATAAAAGTACTGTCTGTTTCTTTTATAAAAAGTATGCTACCAGATCTTGTGAGTTTTGAAATCTCAGTGCCCACCTTGGTGGGGAACATTACTAAGGTTTCCAAAACTTCATGTAGGGGAGGATTAAAAAAAGTAAAAGGAAGGGTGAGGTAAGCCTAGAGTAGGAGGAGCAAAAAGGTAGAACTGGTGTGGGGGGCACAGAGGTTGCCAGGAGGCAAAAAAGGGAGGTGAAGGCTGCAGCCACTGCTGGGGGTGGGAGCAAAAAATAAATGCAAGAGGGAGACAAGGAGTGGGGGAATGAGATCCCTTCTCACAGGTTCCCTATTTGTTCATTCTTAATGGTCTACAAAGTTCATGGCCAAATATCTTAGTAGGGATGTAAAACAGGGTCACCTTCAGAGAAGGTAGGTCAGGGTTTTTGCATTTGCTAGATTATGGAGAAAGCAAGAGAGTACCAGAAAAACATCTACTTTTGCTTCATTGACTATGCTAAAGCCTTTGATTGTGTGGATCACAATAAACTATGGCAAGTCAGCAGTTTTTTAAAATTAAGTATTAAAGCACTAGACTCCTGAAGGTCAGGGGCAGAAGGGCACAGAAGTGACTCATGCCAGCTCTGCAGCATCACACAATTGCACAGGGGTGCATGTTCATTTCCTACCTATTATTCCTCCCCCAACTTGTAGGAACAAGTTGCGGTGTGGAAAGAAGCAGTTGCTGTGTTTTCAGCTGCACATGTGAGATGCCTTTATTGAAAGTACTGTGAGATTACTTGAAAGAACTGTCTCTCACTTTTTCAATGGTGATGGCTGTTTTATCTTTTGCAAGTCATCAGTTCATTCCAAGTGGTGTGTGTCTGAACTTGCCCTAATTTTAACAGGTGGATGGGGGTAGAATAAGAGAGTAATTCTGTATTCTCAACTAATCTGCATAACCTGCCTCTTGTGCTCGGTTTAATCACACCCTTCAGACATTGCCCTTATGATACTGTATGTTAATGACAATACAACACTTCAAGTTGTATTAATGGAAAGGCTGGCCATTCATTTTACATTTAGCAGTCTGTTCTTTGCATTGCCTCAGTCCCTCCCAGTAATGGGAACTAAAATATATATATATTCTGTTGTTTACAACGTTAAGATATGTGACCCAGAGGCTTCAGCTTGATTTGTGTATGGCAACTCCCATAATGTCTTGCCATATCATTACATTGAGCAGTGTGGGAATGCCTCAGTATGTATCAGGGGTTGCCCTTAAGTGCTGCCATATTGTATTTAACTTGTTTATTATGTTCAGGGCTATTTTTGGGCAGGAACGCACAGGAACGGAGTTCCAGCTGGCTCCCGAGTTGGCCATGCCCAGCAGGAACTCATTAGCATAATAGGCCACCCCCAACAGCAGAAACTCATTAGGATTGGCTACATTCAGGGGGTGTGGTCTAACACGCAAAGGAGTTCCTGCTACAAAAATAAGGCCCTGGGTTTTGACCACAGACAAGGTAAGCAGAATAATAAGCAAAAGGTGGGTGTGGCTGGATAACCACACTTCTGGTAACATGTGGGTGCGGCCTAATGTACTAATGAGCTATGCTATCAGGGGTGTGGCCCAATATGCTAATGAGTTCCTGCTGGGCAAGTATTATGGAAGTCTGACACCTTTTGGCTAGTTTTGTATTTTGAATTTTAATTATAGAATTTTTTGAAGCAGTTGGATCAAGTGTTTTCATCTAATACCTGTTTGCTTCATATATTCTATTTTCACTAATTTTATTTATTCGAGAAGCACTTTAGGTGTTTCCTGTTCTAGAGTAAGAAAGATATTACATGTAATGGTAAAGTCCAACAGCTTTTTGTACAGGTCCTGAATAAAGTATGTATGTATTTTTACATGTTCAACATAGGAACTACTCAACTGTCTTCAGCTTGACTTTAAGAAATACTGCAGCCAATATTTACTGGTTAATGCAGAACTACATGAAATACTTTTTCTGCTGCTGAGGAATCCTGGCAAATCTACCATGAGGCTCTGCCACATTAAAGGATGCTAGCAAGAAAGCCACAGCAGCAATTGAAAGGGAGTCCTCAAGAAGGATTAATTTACATTTAATTACTGCTGACTGTGCTACTGTGGAAGGTTGTTTCATGTCAACTTGTGGCCAAAGAGTTGATGAAACTATACATGGGAGCACCCCAAGTAGAACCTGCAGGAAAGCTGTCGGAATATATACTAGTTTTGGACTGAAAGCCTGGATCCAAACTGGAGTGTGGAAACGTAAAATTATGTCTGTTTCGTTAAAAGTATCTCTTAAATCATCCCAGTTGTATGGGAAAATCATGAAGGTGTTCGACACTGAAAAGTCTCAAAGGTTGTACTCTGTATATAAGTAGGAACATCCGACTTGCCTCAACGAGAGCCAGGGCTTTTTTTGTCTCTAGCCCCTCCCTGGTGGAATGAGCTCCCATTAGAAATCAGGCCCCCGTGGGACCTATTACAGTTCTGCAGGGCCTGCAAGACAGAGCTCTTCCACCAGGCTTTCAGTTGAGGCAGCGGGCGCCCACCTGCTATTGGCCCTCCCCTCCAGTGACCTCAGATCTGAATGGCCACCTGGGAACAATCGGCTTCTTGTTGAAATCTGTTGAGGCACCAGTCTTTTATTGAATATTGTTTTTAGATAGGCATTTAGATATAGTTTAACTGTCAATTTGTTGTATTGTGAATTTTAGGATGGAACCCACCCTAAGCCCACTTGTGGGGAGGGTGGAATACAAATAAAATCAAACAAATAAATAAATAAATAAATAGGCCTTGGGAATGTTATGGTACTTGACTATTTATTTCGAAAACTTAAATGTCTTTACATATTTCAGAGTGAGTTTCATTCTTGGAGCCACTCCAAACCCCAAACGGCTCCCAGCATGCGTTGCGGTGGCTGGGCCCCAAGAAGCTCCCTGCATCCACTGCCATGGCAGCCAGGCCCTGAGCAGATCCCAGTGTCCCTTGCCAACAAGGCTGGGCTCTGAGTGGCTCCCAGTGGGTACCATGGTGGCAGCTGAGCCCTGTGCGGCTCCCTGCTTCTGCCCCGGTGGCGGCCAGTCCCCGAGTGAGCCTGTCAAGGCTTCCTTATTCTTTGAGCAGGCTTGCCAAGGCTTCCCCCCCACTCTCAGCGGCTCGCTCAGAGCTGCTTCAAGAAGGCTCGGCAGGATTTCTTTCCCTTCTACTCTTTGGTGTTCACTTGGAGCTGTTCTGAGTGGACCTGTGGAGGCTTCCACTTCCCCTTGCCGGCAGATCCAGCACTCTGTTGCCACAGCAACCTCTAGGCTCCTTTCTAGCTACACTACAATAAGTGTGTTTTATTTATTTATAAAGTGTGATTTATTTATTTATTTAACTTTCAGGGGCAATTTAATCCCCCAATGCTTGGTTTTTTTAACTTTTCAGATTTTTCTGCAAACCTAGGCGGCGTCACCCAAGTTTGCAGAACAGCTTATTTAAGGTGATTGTGCCCCCTATCTTCAGATTTAGATATCCACACATGGGGGCACAGTTGGTAATGAGATATACAGATGTTTCAAGCACCGTCTGCTGTGAAAATTTCAAAACCACCATGTTTCAGCAAGCTTGATTTCTGGCCAATAGAGTCCTCTTGTAGGTTTCCACCAAGAACAATAATCACATATCTCCTTGCAGCGAGAAAAGAAGAGACATGAATTGATGTTTTTTCCAATGAATTTTAAAGGAACTCTTTACTTGCATTACCTACATTATTGAGAGATGTTCTGATTTAAAGGGGAAGTCCTTTGGTGTTTTTGGTTAACGTAACTGTGGAAATCTTTTATGTGTGGTGGGGGGAATCTGAGAGTTCACAGGGAGGAGAACTGCAAAATTGTTGTCTTCCTTCTGAATGGGAGAATGGGGATGTTAATTCTGTTTTGCTTATCTTTTTCTAAATGTTCATAGTTTACAGCCAAGTGGAGTTTTTAAAATTCTAAACCCATTTTCAATTTATTCTGTCAACTGAAAAGATATAGGGTACATTAACAATTATTTAATGTACATTTTCTTTTTCTGTTTATGAAAATTACATGGCTGCAAAATGTTCACGTGTGAACTTCTTAGCTAGTGTTAGTGAATGGCTGGTTGACTCTCTTTTCCCTATATTTTTTATTTTTCATTGTTTTCCCCATATTGTTTATTACTTGTGAGACAGTCTGGCATTAGGCAAATCCAGGTGACTTTCCACCTCTTTTAAATGAAAAATATTCTTTAAAAGGTTCATATACTTAATTGTGAACTATCTCAATTTCTTTTCCAGGTTACATCCTAAGCGTTGTACTCCTAACCTTACCCAGACAACACCTGGTTCAACTCTACCTGTATTTTCTAACTGCACTGTTGCTGTATGCTGGGCATCAGATCTCCAGGTAGGAATAACAAGAATTGTTTTCTTTTGTGGCTTTGATTTTCAAATATGAAAAGGTATTTTGTGAATATTCTGCCTGGAGCATCTGTTTACCTTTGTCTCCTTATTTGCAAAATATGCTTTGGTTGAAAGGGAAGTAATTGATGATAATAATGTCTTTTAATTGACTTGATGGAGAATTTCTGAGGACTAAATTCCAACTAAATAAATGGGAAGCTTTTCTGCACTTCGATAATGATGAGGGCTGTAACTTTTCTGAGGCCTAGAAATACAAGGGATCATTTTCTATTATATATACTCCTTTTTATGTTTGCATATTCAAATATGCTGGGTGTTTATTCAAAGCCACTGTAAGCCCCTCTTGAATCACTGAAGTCTCTCTGAGTGGTTCTTGAGTATGATTCAGCTTTTCATCTTGTTGATGACTTAATAGTGGACAGAATATGCTAGAGAGAATGAAGAAGAAGGCCAGAAGTACGTAAAGTGTGATTACAGTGGCAGTTACTGTTCATATTGTGTCGTTTAACAAATTGGCTCTTAGGAAGTCTTTACAGACTTTGAGAGCTGAATTAAAAAGTTAACCATTTGATTTCTGAGAGCATGGAAGGCTAGATTCCATTTATCTAAATATTTTGGCACACATTTAAGAGCAAAACGACAATGTTCTGAGATCTGAGGCAGACAGAGCATCTTAGGAGACTGTGGTCCTTTCCGCTGTTGGATCTCATCCCTGGTTTTTTCAGAGTTCAACTCGTGACACAATACCTTGCATTTATCCCTGGTTATAACAGCATCCGTTTATCCCGGGACAAGTGTAAGGCAAAACCAGGGTGAACTCAGTGTAATGTGGAAACAAAAAAATACCCCGAGATAATTACAGGGGTGAACTTGCGAGTAGTGTAGAATATAAGATCAGGGACAGGGTTGAACCAGGATTTAAGGTCTAGTGCGGAAAGGACCTGGGAGGGAAGAAGCTTGGTAGAGCATCTGTTTTGCATGCCGAAGGTCCCAGGTTCAGTCTCTTAGCATCTCTGGTAAAAAAGGCTTGTGTATTTGGTTATATGGAAGATATCTATTGCACACCCCAGAGAACTGCTGCCAGTCAGAGTAGACAATACTGACCTTGATAAACCAGTGGTCTGGCTCAGTATACAGTAGTTTCATACGTTATGTGAAACTGGATCAGATTCTTTTCCGAGTACTGTGGTGAACAAATAGATACAGCAAAATGATCTCAAAGCCAATAGCATGTATCTTCCAGAAATGCTTTGGTACTGAAGACAAAAGGAAAAATGAAAACTTGGAGATATCTATGAGGGTTTTGTGATAGTTGCATTATTCGGGTATACGAGTCAGTATTTAATGGAGCCCTTCCAAATGATTCAGAGGAAAGAGTTCTGTCTTTTGTCAGTCCTACACAATTTCCTAGTCTTCCCTATTGACATTTATTTCCTCCAAGCTTCTTGGTGCCTTGACATGGATGGCTCAGGCTAGCCAGGTCTCACCAGATGTCAGAAGCTAATCAGGGTTGACCCTGGTTAGTGCTAGAGTTCCCTCTAAGCTGCACTGGGGCACTGGTGTACAAAAGTTTAGACAGCAGCTCAGGGATTTTTCAATCAAATCACAAGTGAACTGAGAAGGCATTTTTTCCTTTCCATTAGAAACAGCAGAGGATGGGGGCACCTCCTTCTGGAGCCCATAGAATTGAACCCCCTGGTTCAATCTTTAGAAACAGTGGGAGGGGGGTTGAAGAGAGGCACCAGCAATTATGCTGCAAATCTGGTGCCTCTACCTCAAAAAAACAGTCCTCCCAGAGATAAGTCTAATAAGTCAGAGGCAGAGCTCCAAATATCTCCGGATTGATTCTCCGTTATAGCCCATGGGGCCCATTTACTATAATGGTCTCCATAGGCTATAATGGAGCTGGGGGGAAATCTGTATTTTGTTTGCACGTCCCTTGTATGATTTTCAGTATGATTTGTAAGCTGCCTTGAGTCACAGGGGAATAAATAAGTAGCTTGGGCAGATTGATAACATTTAAGCAAATTCCTATTTGTTAGGCTAGGCAGGGTTCTGACAGTGATTGTTCCACCTATTATACTTGACAGGGCAGTGGTCCGAGGCCAGGTCTACCAATATAGTGGACTGGGGTGGGTAGACCTGTTCTCCAAAGGCCAGGTCTACCAATATGGTGGAAAATGTTTAAGTTATTTTTAATATATAGTTTATAAGAATTCATTCTAAGATTTTTGCAAGGTTATAGAAATAATCTTCTAAAAAACTAATTTACACAAAAGTCAAATATAGACTCGCTCACAACTTTAGTGCTACTAGCTTTTTCGCTCACAAGGTAGAATTTTTTTTCACAACACTGTGGTTCTTAGAGGAAACATTAGTAAGTGCTTGCATGGAAGATTACCAAGGAAGTCCAGGGTTGTTATGCAGGGACAGACAGTGGAAAACAACCTCTGTTTGTCTTTTGCTTTGAAAACTGTACATGATCACAATAAGTGGGTTGTGTCTTGATGGCACTTTCCATCACCACCAAGCTCCTTGGCTATGTAGTATGTATTTAGTATTGTGTGTGTGTGTGTGTGTATGTGTGTGTGTGTGTGTGTGTGAAATACAGTTACTGAGTACATATTCTCTCTCATTTATTTATCTATATATCTAACTAGGAATAAGGCCTGTTGTGGAAATAAATACAACGATCTCTAGAAAGAGACTCTGGGAGAGTGCCCCAGCCTTGGGCACTCAGCGTCAATTTGCTGTGGCGACCTCAGCAGGGTATAATGACACAACTGAACTGCACCAAACTTTTCTCCCCCCCCCCCCGAAAATAACTGTTTTGGATGGTGGGCTTTATGGCATTTTGTTCAGCTGAGGCCTCTCCCCTCCCCAAACTCTGGCTTCCTTAGACACAGAACATCCAGGAATTTCCCAACCTGGAGCTGGCAACCCTAGTCAGGACAGGCCCCAATGAGTTCCTCACAAAGGCCTGGAAAGGGTTTCCTTCTACCAGCAGCCACTGAGGGAAAAGTGAGTCCCACAGAGGAGCCAAGCAAGAGAAGTGTCTTCATCGGGAGAGACAGCCATTTGCAGTACTTCTGACAGGGAACAGTGGCTGAGGTGGGAGTGGGTGGGGAAGAGGAGCAGACCCAGCACCCGGCCAATGGCACGTGAGTACTCTTGAGTGGCGGCTGACGGGCCAATGGCTGAGGGAGCGCATTGCATAGCCCATGGGAGAGCTGGAACGTGCCACCCTATTACTCAGTTATATATAAGGAGAGATAACCAAGATCCCCCTTCTGTGCAGATATCTAAATCCGCACATCGGGGGCACATAGGGTGCAAAGAGATTTTCCTGCATACTTAGGGCATTCTCCAGGTTTGCAGAAAAATCTGAAAAGTTGAAAAAACTATATGGGGGATACTTAAATCCCCCCCAAAGAAAAGAGTGTTCCCTGCGCATGCACAGAGAACACACTGGGAACTCTGCCTTTCTGCTGTTGAGGGCATTTTGTATCAAAAATCGGAATATAGACATTCTAATTTTTTTCTGTTGAAATCACCACTTCTAGTTTCTGCGTTACCCTGGATGACATCATCACCTTCTGTGCCTTCCAGACACAACATTTTGAGATTGCCTTTGACTCATCCCCCACACACACAAATATTACAGCCCCAACAAACTTATCTTTTACAATTTTCCCATAATTTACTGTTTTCTGTCCTTATGAGTGCAATCCGAAGAACTCTTTACTGGGAATAAACCCCACTTAATAACGTGGAACTTAATTCTGAGTAGACCTACTTAGGATTGTGCCATATTGCTGTAGCCCCTCTCTTCAGTATGGCTGCATTCAGATGACAGGCTTAGCACAGTCCGGCCCCGCCTTTAATTAATCCAGGGGGTTTTGTAACAGAGAGTTTTGATCAGACATCTTACCCTTAACCTGCTTCACCGCGTGCTCATCCCATGGTTGATCAATCAGACGCGGCAGCCACGGAGTGGGGTGGTTGGGCAGCTTTTAAAAATTATTTGTTTTTGAGCATTCGCCTAAGTATGTATTGAAAGCAACGCTTCAAACTCCTGGCAGGATGGCGTCAGCTGGTGGACAATGGGACTGCTGGGGGAGGCTACTGGGATATGTAGTGCAGTGTGGGGAGAGAGAGAGAGAGAGTGAGTGAGTTATGTTCGTAAAATGTCTGTAAATAATAAATGCACTTGTGGCACTTCATAGTCATGGTGTGAATATGCAGTTATGCGCACCTTGCTAACTGTCTCAAAAAAAAGCCCCAAACCAGAAGGGAATGTTCAGACTTCCAAATAGCCTGAGAGCGTGATGGATTGTTCAGACTTCCAGACTTCCAGAGATGCAGGGTGAAGACCACTGACACTAGGAAGGACCAGACTTTCTCTTGTGTCAAATAACTCTGGTTTGAAGACTGGTGAGAACAGGGTGCAACGACTGGGGAATGGGAGACAGATGTTGCTGTCTGATCGTGCATTGTAAATCTGGAAAGGAACAGCAATGACACTGGATCAAACAGATCATCTTATCGCAGCCTATATTAGCCTTCTTCCTGCTCACCTTCTCTCCTGTCATGTTTATTCTGTTTGTTCTGTCTGGAAAGGTCTCTATTGAAATGATTTCCTGTTGCTAACCCAAGCTGTTTTCTCTAATTCATCTTTTTCAAGACTATTGCCTCATCTCCACTTAAATGACATCATTTTCTCCTTGTTCCCTTTGCTCTTCAGTCTGTTTATTCCTTTTTCCTGTCTCCATTCTGTCCTCTGTCAACTCCCCATCAAGCCAGCTTCTTTGTATCCATCTCTTCCTCAAAGCTTTTCTTGATATGTTTTGTGTTGTCTGTTACCTCTTCGACAACTTTCCTTCATTAGTTCTAGTACTCTGGCAATAGTGTCCTTTTCCTCTTTTATATCATAAGCTGATTAAGCACTGTCTGTGTCCAGTCCGTGTATACATTGCCTTAGCA